GCGGGGCCCCGCCCCGGGTGTGAGGGCAGGGGCGCGCCGGCCGGCTGAGGGCTAGGCGCTCGCGCGCTGCGTGTCAGCGGGGGCCTCAAGTAAGCTGTCCGCCGGTTGAGGGGGCGCTGTCTCCCCACAGCCAACGTGTTGACGCGTCAAGAAAGTCCTCACAAAAGTTAGGGGCGACAGGAAGCTCAGCGACGTGCGCCCGCTCGGCTGGAGGCGGGGCGAGCCGCGGGGTTGGCTGGGGAGCGCGAGCCTCGGGCGTGCTTCGTTGGCCAGGCCAGTGGTCACTGCGCGAAGCTGGTCAGGGGCGTGAGCGATGCCAGACGCCGGGCGAGGGGCGATTGGGAGGGGCGTGGCTGGGGTCCTTCTCTCGAGGGGCACGAGGGGCAGAGTGCGGGGCCAGCCTCTGCCCTGCGCCTACGGGGAGCTGGGAGCCGCCTCGCGGGGCCTCTGGGGCAGCCCCCAGCAGCAGCCTGGGCTTCCTCGGGGCCGGGTAGGGCCAGTGACCAGAGACGAGTTGTGGGGCCAGGAGCTGGTAGGCCCAGGTGGGTTGGGGTGGGGGCGGCTTGTTTCTGGCTACCTGCCAGCGCGGGGTCGGAACCTGCTGCCCAAACGCACAGGAGGCAGCGGGGCAGTGGTCAGTATGTTACGGGGAAGGACGTCCTGAAGGAGGCTGCAGAGTCTCGTGGACCCCACCCCCCACTCCAGCTTTCTGGACCCTACACCGTACTCCAGTGACTGGAAACTACAACTCCCAGCAGCACCAGGGAGAGAAGCGAGGGCCCAGGGGCGGAGCTAGCAGGAATTCTGGGAGGTTTGGGGGATAAATAGGGCGGATTGCATCTCGGGCTCTCTGCTCTCCGGAAACAGCTCTCCTGCTCGCGGCTCCTGCCCCAGTGACTCGGTGTGTTCAGTCAGCCCTAAGGTGTCCCAGTGACTCTGTAGCCCGCTCTCTTTCCCTGGGTTGTTTCCTGCTCCTTTCCCCTTTTGTAAATAAACCCGTTATTGACCCTTCTGTGTGTCCCTGCAGTGTAACCGAATTGTGAGTGCTCGGGTGAGGCCCACAGACAGGTGGCCCGTCCACTCTGGGCTGCCCTACTGAGAGGGCGGGACTACCCTGCAGTTGATAAAACTTGACCTGAAAGAGGCTTAGGCTTAGTCCCAGCCGGGCCTTCCAGGCCTGTGGGGTGGAGGCCTTAGGTCAGGAGAGCAGGCCGAGGTGCGGCTTCTCACCCTCGTGGAGCCCTTCTTGGGCATGGGTCGTCTGCCACGGAGTTAACGTTTCACACGGCTCTTTGGAAGAAGTCAGGGCCGCTCGCCGAGGCCGCTGCTTTGGCTTCACATCACAGAGCCAGAGCTCCCCGGCTCGCTGCTCTTGGCACGGGCTGGGCAGAGGCAGTTGAAGGGAAGACTTGTTCTGGTTGTCGGCCCCACAGATGCTTATTCACTGTCAGTGGCCCTATTTCCTACACGCCCACGTGGCTGAAATTAGGAGGGAAAATAAAGTGGGCGTGCTGAAGTGCACAGGCGTCCTCAGGGCAGCGCCTGCTGCTGCCCATGCGCAGCTGGAGCTCTGACTTCTGCCGAGTTAAAGGGAGATTCCTTACAGATCTGGCCTAAACTGGAAGACAGGCTGTTTTTTCCTAATAAAGTTGGCACTCATAATTTTGCTGTGCAAGTTAAGACATCTTCCATTTAACGTTCAGGTAGCAGACCCCCCCAAACGGTCTGCAGATAACCTTGATCCCACCCACACCCCCACAGCCCTTCTTTGCAGAGATGGAAAAACTAATCTTGAAATTCTTACGGAACTGCATGGCACCCAAAATAGCCAAAACATTTGAAAAAGAAGAGTTAGAGAATGCGCGCCTCTGATTTCAAAACTTACTCCAGATCCTCAGTAGCCAAGTGCGCACTGCTGGTGCGAGGAAGGACACACAGGTCAGTGGAGGAGAGCCTGTTTAGAAACGAGCCTGTGCGTTTCCAGGCAGTAGACCTTGGACAAGAACGCCAAGGGGAGGAATAATCTCTCTGAGGATGGTTCCAGACAGCAATATCCATTTGCAGAAGAATGGAACTGGGCCCTTACCGCATCCCAAATGTAAAAATTAAAAGAGATCAAAGACCTACTTGGTAGAGCTTAGGGTATAAAGCTCTTAGGAAAAAACGGATAACTCATGACCTTGGATTTGATAATGGCGTCTGTACATGACACCCACAACACAAGCAAGCGACTCCAAAAAAAAATAGAACTTCCAAAGAAAAGCCTTCTTGTCAGAATACAGTCAAGAAGCTGGAAAGTCACCCCAGAGCCTGGGAAAAAGTACTTGAAAATTGGGCCCTACCTGGTGGCGCAACAGGTTAGGATGCAACACTGCAAGCTGGCCACAGCCGCTTCAGTGCACGGTCAGTCCCGGCCCCGGAGGTGACCCACAGGGCGCAGCAGACCTCTCCTGACCCTTCCACTGCTCCCCTCAGCATTGATCAGCCCGTATGCTCCCCACTCTGTCTCTGGTGAATCCTCTCACCACCCCTGCACCTCTGACCTGTACTCCAGTTATGTATGTATAAATAAATCTTTTTTTTTTAAATACTTGAAAATGTATAGATCTGACAAGGGTCCACAACGTAGGAAGAACTCTTATAACTCAACAGCAAGAAGAGACCCCAACTAGAAAGTTGGCAAAAGACTTGAACTCCAAAGAAGATATCTGTGTCCCAAGACACATGGTCACCACTTGCAAAAGCTCAAAATTGCTAAGCCACCAGAGAGCTGAAGGTCAAATCCAAAGAGACTATTTCACACCCCCAGGATGGTGGTTAAGACAGAAAATAGCAAGTGTTTGCGGAGTGTGGAGGGATTGGAAGCTCACACTTTGCCAGAGAGGGTTCTTAGAGGTCGGCTGTAGTGGAGACAGCTGACAGACGCAGAGTGACCACCTGTCACCCTCCCCTGCCGGTGTCCCTTCCCCTCCCGCTGCACCACATGGACTTGGTACTCGAGGCACCTGCTGTGCCAGTGCCACAGTCCTCTGGCTGCCATCAGCGACTTGCCAGGACATCAGCATAATGAGCTGCTCTCTGCCATCTGTCAGCTCTGGGAGATCTTGGGGGGCTTTCTCAGCTGCTGGGGGAGAAAGTCTGGGACAGAGGGCAATGCTGATGGCAGGTGGAGATGCTCTGCTGAGCACCCCAAGAGTGAAAATTCTGGAAACACAGTAATCACTGGTGTTGATGTCATGGACCGTAACCTGCAGGAAACCAACTTCACAGAAGAATCTTACAAGACGTGTCAAAGATTACATGAAAGGCAGGTAAGGACAAATGACCAGAGAGGAAGATGTGTGATGGTGGCTGTAGAGTAAATCGAGCACATCTTGCTTTTGAAGCTTCAAAAGCTACCAGTTTACGGGGGAAAACAGGATTCCAGGTCGTGTGGCTCTCTGCTGGACGACTGTGGCTATGTGCAGTATTTTATTTAAGGACTTTACAAATGGGTAAATGTTAGTTTAGCATTGACTGGATCTGTCGTCTGCCATCCTAGCTGGCTGCTGCTTTTCACTCACCCAATGTAAGGACAAGTGGGGCTGACAGCATCTTACATCTCTCTCTTTTTTTAAAAAAGATTTGTTTACACACACAGAACTGGGGTACAGGCCA